GTTCGTAACTAAGATAAAGAGACAATTATTAACTAATCAAAATTGACCTTTGTCTAGTGTCCTTAACAGCCAACTTGGTGCTACGCACATTGGCTGTCTACAATCTCATATCCAACACACGCTTGTTGAATAATTGTTAATGAAACATTTGTCAAAACAGGAATATAGCTGAAGACTGAATTTCTACATACTTGAGTGAACATCCAACATGAATGAATGAAAGTGAACTCTTTGTTTCTTTTCCACAGGAATTTCATCATAAAATAAATCCATCAACATTGTCTTGCCACAGCCTTAAACAAATACAATTTATGCAATATTTTAAAACCTTCAGGTGGGACATGCATTTCTCTAAGTGGGCCATATATTGAAATTGCTTTCAAGACACACAATCCATAAAAAAGGTCCCTGCCATAGGGATTGGGGGGAGTACAACTTATAAAAGAATATTTCCCACATGGGAACATCCTCCTGCTATAGGACACATTTCATAAGACTAGTACTCAGGGGGCATCACCTATGACTCTTCAAACACCTCCCATTTTAGGGTACTACCACCAACAGTACACCTCCCATGAGGGTAACAGGCCACTTCCTATGCCTAAGGGGTACAGAGTTGCAACTAATCTTTAGGTGGCACTAGTCATTAGTTTGGATAATGCCTTGTAAGTGATCATCTCCCAAAAAATATTGAGTTTACCATCAAGGGTGAGCAGTTCAAGTAGGAGGAAACTTAGAAGGATGGAAAGAAGGAGAGAGGGAGGGAAGACGAGCCAAAAGGAGGAAGAGAGAATTACAAAGCTTTAGAGCAAGAATACACATTATTACCTACCTACACTGCCATGAAGATAAAGACCAACAGGGGCTTTTTGTTTGCTATTGACTCTAAAAAACTAACAAACAAAATAAAGAAAAATTACCATGATGATGTACAGTTCATGGGTAATTTAAAAGGCCACCCTAAGTTGAAAAAATTGTCGTTGATATTGCCTCGCCCTAGCTGATTTACATGAAAGAAAAATCTGTCTAAGTAGAGATCATCAGGCATAATGTAAATTCAGAATTTTTTAAAAAAGTACCAAGCTCCCTACCTTACTAAAAAACCCAGAACTAGTTGGCTGATAGTTAACTACATCATCATGCAATCTTTGTAGATGCTCAACAATCTGCCGTTGATATCTGTCAAGTTTCAGCTTTCCGCTCCTGACTGTTTCATCATACTTTTTAAGAGGGCCTGCCTCTTGGCTAACAGTATGTGAACTTTGAGTACCAAGGAAGTCATCTGAAAGTAGGTAATCCAGTGTAACGTGACAAGCTTACAGACCATAACCAATTGACCATTATAACAAGTCCTAGTTAACTGTACATTTTCTGTTGTTGTTCAAAAATGGTCATGCATCACTCCTTAACTAGACAATGAATTATTGATTACAGTGAAGCCATAAACTATTAATTCACAGCTACCACTCATAAGAATCAATTATGCCCAATTCTTCAATGGCCAATACAATTACACTGACAATAAATAGCTACATAACTGCACACTGGAACCTCATCAATATGATGTTGACCATGTCACAAGGGGTTTACGCCAGCTTCACTACTTCTCAAGTTCACTATATCCGAGTTCACTACATGTTCGCTATCCATAGGCTGAGTTTGCTCCCTCACCTAACCAAGTATGGCTTGGGAGTAGATGAAAGAATGAGGAATAATCTTGCACAAAATCTTACGTCTATATATTTTTGTTTTGTGAAGTTTTAGTTTTATCAATAGTAGCGAATGAGCATGAAATAGGTAGCGAACTGGCAGTTGTGGGTAGTGAACTCGAACGTAGTGAACTCAACAGGTAGTGAAATTGGCATGTTACCTGTCACAACAGTAGGTTCCCAGCACTACAGAACTTCCAAAGTGGATTTTGAAGAAAGAAAACTTATCATGGTATGATATGATTCATGTACAATTCACCAAGTAACAAACTAAACAAATTTTTTCGTGTGAAAGAACTATTTTTGCAAGTGTTGATTTTTGAATGACTACATGTACAGCAGGTCAGTCCTGAATCTGTACTGAATAGAAGGAATATTTATTTATTTATTTATTTATTTATTTATTACAATTTAATGGCAGATATACAAAACAACAAACAACAAAAAAACAAGCAATAAGGATAACTTCTAAAAGAGTTATGTGACCCCATATAAAAACAAATCACCTCGTAAAATTATAAAAATTACAATAATTTGATGTTGTCGCTATTACCAAGACCTGGCTTGATAGTAACTTTGGTGATCATGAGCTTTTGATGGATGGCTAACTTAACTAAACTAACTTAATCATCCCCCACAGGACACAGGTCACAGGTCACAGGTCACAGGTCACAGGTCACAGGTCACAGGTCACAGGTCACAGGTCGCACTTAATTAAAACTTTGATTATTAAACAGTGAATCTTGTTACAGAAAAATGTAAGAAAAGGAAATACAATTCTAAGAAGCACTGAGAAACGCTGTTCTTGTGCAAAGAATTATCTGCGAAAATCTTGAGACTCTAACCCGGCAGTTGAAGTGGAAATATCCGGGAACTGCGGGAAATATGCAATTTCGTTATGGACCCTGCGTACAAATGCGCAATACCAGGCAATACCAGAGCAAGTTTAAAAGGAATTTCGATCTTATTATCACGCATAGACGTATAATAACCAATATACTTACTAGCTGTTCCGGTTAACGTCGAAGATCTCCTACAAATCTTGATCGAAACACGGACAAAATTTCGTCTAAAACTACATCTCGAAGCCGCCATTTCTTGTATGACGTCAACCTATGTAGTTTCCGGTCCTCTGCGGTTGCGATTGCGTTGCGCGTGGTTACAAAGAGCTCGTTTAGTTTCCAAAAACAATTATTTTTGAGCGTCGAGCTGCAAATATAGGCGATCATGGGGTTTTTCGACAGGCTGGGGAGGTTGTTGGGCTTAAAAAAGAAGGAACTTAATGTCCTTTGTATAGGACTCGATAACAGTGGAAAAACCTCAATCATAAATAAGCTTAAACCTGACAAGGTAAGTGAAGAACTTATGGCATGGCCGCTGGCAGACATGAATTGATGTGGTTGCAGTAAATCAATTCTCTCATTAACGCACGGCAATCTTTACATGGTTAATGTACCTCTCTTTACTAAGTGTCAGGCGCAAGATATTGTTCCTACTGTTGGGTTCACAGTAGAAAAGTTTATATCTCAAAGGTCAGTGTTATTTTAATTTAAAGACGCTTAATATATATTTTTCAGTCTGCTATAAGTTTATTTCCTGTTTAAGCTTAATTTCTGAAATGTACTTGATCATTCTTAGATCTGAAATACTTAGATCTTCTTTGTTGTAACTTAAAAAACAAAAAAAATGAACCTGGGATACATGCATGTATATTTCTTGGTTTTAACCTGATCTTGTCGAGCTACACTGTGGGAAGGAGGGGGCGTATAATGTGTGTTTGCTAAAAGGCTGTTTAAGGCGGGATGCGACAGTATTACCATCTGCATCTGCCAGGGGTAATTAAAGGGCGATCTCTGTGGCAAACAATTAAACAGGAAAGTGTGAGCACACGGATGGGCCAATCAGGGCGAGCAGGTGCAAGCCAGTTGGCTGATCATATATTCAGTCGCTGGTTCACTGGTAGAGTTAATTAACTTGCAACTTATCATGCATGCACCTTCCATGTTGACGCTACATCCATGATATTATTCAAAGTAGAATTAACTAAGTTCATCTTCTTATACTTATAAAATTATGATACAATATTTGTGGTATATTTGAACTCTGTGTGAGCTGTAATTAATTGAATTTCAAATATTTGCAGTCTTCGCTGAAATTTTTCACTCATGATTATAGGAAATATATTTTAAAATTCAACCAATCAAAATCTCTGTGTAACCTGCATTAATAGCTTTTGAATTTCAGACATCTCTTCCGGGTGAATTTGTGATTGGGGGAGACCGCCATTTTTAAGATTAACTAAAATAGCTCTATGTTTATTTACAATTATACTGTTATACAACACCTGTACCAATATTCATTGTACTTATCTTTTCTTCCTTTTTTTAGTCTTAACTTTACTGTATTTGACATGTCTGGTCAAGGAAGATATAGAAATCTATGGGAACATTACTATCAGTAAGTTTAGGAATAAAATGATGTATATTGTGCAATGTAAATTTCAAATATATAGTTTTTGTTTGTTTACTAAATAGTTAGTATGTATGTCTTGTTCCAGAAAATATGGACCATGCCCCTCTCATGGGAGGTTTTTTACTTTGAACTCCCTCACCCCTATGGAAGTTCCCGTTTAGCTCCATACTGTCCTTCGAAAATATTTGCTTTTAACCCCTC